AAGCTGGGGCCAGCAGGTGGTGTGGTGGTTAAGGTGCTGGATTCCATATGGCCAATCGCATGGTTCTAATCCCAGACCCAGCAGCGTTAGTGATACGCCAGGCGCATATGCCCAAAATCTTGAGAGAAGACTGGAGGAGAAGGGATGGCAGTGTGGCCGTCCACGCTGGGAGGTGAATTCTCACTTTCTCACTCTCTTTCTCTCTCTCTCTCTGCCTGTTTTGGTCTGAAAAGCACACATGCTCTATAGCAAAACAAAAATAAAACAATAAATAATAAATAAATTTTTCCTCTTGAAAATTAGAGAAGAGATTCCCCTCTCTCCCTTTCCATAGAGTATTTCTTAGGAACCTGAGAAGGTAACTACTTCCCCTTTCTTTGAAATGTAAGTATATATCATTTGGAAACTACTTAGACATTTTGCCAGTCTTATGGCCTACAAATGTCTTTCCCAAGGACCTGGGAGCCTTCATTTGAAATGTAAAAATCAAGGGAGATGGGACACCTCTCTCCCCATTTCGGTGGGAGGGTAGGTGCCTAACTCAGTGGGCATCTTGCTTCAATTTGTGAAACCACTTCTGTCATAAAGATGTGCAGAGTTTGTATTTCCTCAGATAAAGCCAAATCACTCACTAGACAGTCACTCCAATTACCGGGTAAATTTAGGGGGAGCCACGTGAGACAGATGGAGCTTCAAGTCCTCTTACTTGAGGACTAGGTGTTACATATCCTGAAATCATATTTGTAGGGACAGCCCATGGCTTGATGGTTAAGAGAGCTGGATCCCACAGTACGGTTCAAGTCCCAGACCTGGAGGCTGGAGAAACATGCCAGGCCCATCTACACATACGCCCAAATTCCTGAAAGGGGGAAGAAATGGGGAAGAAATCACACTGTAATGATACCCCACAGGGAGGGCTTTCTCCCTCTCCCTCCATCTCTGTCTCTTCCTCGGCACCCCCTCCAGAGCCCCACTTCCATCCTGCCCTTCCCCTGCAGGCCGCCCTTGCTCCCGTTCTTCCCAGTCCTCCTCTTTCCAGAGCCACTGGCATCACGAGCTTCTGCCCGCCAGCTTCCAGTCCAGCCCCTGTCCCTTCCTGTGCTTCTTCGGCTTCTGACTCCTTGAATTTTCCTGATGGTTTTCTAATTTTAGTTCTCTTTTCTTTTTTCTCTTCTGTGGTTCATCTTCCCTCTCTCTTTCCTTCTTAACCTCTGCTTGCTCTCTCATGGTGTCATTTGCGTTGGAGGAGGGAGCCTAGAGCCATACAGACTTCTGTGTGTGGATCCACACCTGGGCTGAGTGGTTGCTGATCTTCCCCTATTGACCGGCTCACTGCTAGGAGCTTCCTAAAAGATATTCCACATTGGCTCAAGAATGGATTCACTGTGAACTTTTAAACTGTTCTTCATGTGGCCAGCAGGTGGTGTGGTGGTTAAGGTGCTGGACTCCCACGTGGCTGACTGCAGTTCAAGTCTTGGACCTGGTGGCTAGCTTTGTCACTTGCCCCCTCTCTCTGGTCAAATTAAAATAATAATAATAAATAAAACGAAATAAATTAAAAAAAACCCCAAAACTCTGTTCTTCCAATTCTGAACTTTTCCTTTTTCCTAGGAACCTTGTCAAAAGGACTAATTTGCTTTTAAAGTTCTCACAGTTTGAGGCTGATATTTGGTATCTTATTAATTCCTTAATTTTCTGAACCCGTGCCTGCTGTTCTACATCACCTTTGTAGGTTTTACCCTCATAGCTTTCGCCACCATTCTTCTCATCCTCACTTACACGTTTCACATGGTTTTTATAGTCATCGCCCTGGAAATCTTTTCCACAGTTGCTGTAAGGAAGGCACCCACAGTTCCTGCAAGTACATGCTTTTCCACTTGTGTTTTCTTCACTGACTCACCACATGCATTACATAAAAAATCGCATTTTTAGATAACTGATTAAATACTCTCTACCCAAGATAGGCCTTAAGTCTTGTCCTTGCAGCCAGCGCCCCCTGATGGTCTCAAGCAGCTGCGGGAGCACGTGGAATTGCAGCCCCAGCCCAGCAGAGCCCTCACCTCCTTCCTTGATGTTTTTCTGTGCAAAAATGCATCATGACTTGTCCGATGACCCAATACAATGGGTTATGGCCACTCGGCTATAAAAACAATGAGATTTCCTCTGTCTTTTCAATCCTTTAGCAGATGCCTGTGATGTGTGTCACATTCTGGTCTGACACTTCTTTAACATAAAAGTGTTTTCATTCTCTACTACCTTTGTGGAGAGCACTTCTGGAGTGGGAGAAGATTGTGTTTTTAACTGTGTGCCCTCCAATGTGACCAAAGATGTAAGAGTCAGCCCAGTTGAGTTTATCCAAGGTCACCCAGGGTACTGGAACTCCCGTTGTGCCTGAATTTCATACATTTCTGCTGCAGTATGCCTCCAAAATTTCACATCATTTGTTACAGACCAGTATTGTGGCACCAGGTAACTGACATGGAATCAGCAATATCCCTGGCATGACACAGCACACGGCCAAGGCACAACCCTGGAAGGCTCCGCCATCCCCTTTCCTCCTCCAATCACTGTGTCCTCACTTCTAGTCACTCTAATTTCTAAGCCTCCCAGATGTCTGACCCTTCCTGTACAACCCCGCTACCACAGCCCAAGGTCAGCCATAGCTGACTCCTCATAGCTGCACACCATGCTTCCTCCTGTTCACCCTCCACTCACCCCCTCACCACTCCCACAGTGAGCACTCCCAGCCCTGTCCTGCCCACGTCTCCTCAGCTCTGTACCCAAACTCCTGACCACAGCACACAGCACCTTCACGATATGGCCTGTGCCTCCTTCTCCAGCCGTCTCTCTCCCTCCTCCCAGACCCCACTCCCTGTGCCCCTGGGCACCCGCACACCCCAGCCCCAGGTCTATCTGGCTCCCTGTGAACAGCCACGACCATCACGCTGTCTCTGTGCCTTCTCACAGGAGATCCCTGGTGAGCCCTGTGCCAGCTGAGGTCTCCTCCCAGTGACCTTTCCTGACTGTCATGGGGGTGTCACTCAGTCCCTCCTCCGTGTACCCTGTGCCAGGAAGGCCTCGTTACTCCAGTGACGTCCCCTCTCCCTGTCCTCCCCTCACTGCTCTCACCAACCACAGAGACCCCTACTGTGCCCAGAACACCCCAGCCATGCTCCACCTCGGGGACGTCACACTGGGTGCTCCCTGTGAGGAGTTCGAGGCCCTCGGGGATGCTGTCGGCTGAGCACCTCCTTCCTGGGAGCCTGGTTCAGATGCTCAGTGAAGCCCTGAGTGACTGAGCCTCCCTCATGCCCCACCACACCCCGACCCTTCCCTGTCCTACCTGGTCTTCCGTCCTAGGCTCTCATCACCCTCCTGCATCGTCCACACCCTGCTTACTTACTGTGACTTTCTACCTCTGTCCCTAGAACATAAAGTCCACAGTCAAGGATCTTTATTTGCTTCACTGATGTGTCCCAGGTGCCAGAACAATGACTGGCCCATACAGGAGGATCTTCAAAAACTGTATGGAAAACATGCACTATGAAAATAATTATGGGGCCAGCAGGTAGTGTGGTGGTTGGGGCTCTGGACTCTCTCATGGCTGACTGTACTTCCAGATCCATCCAGACCTGGTGGCTTGCTTTCTTACTTTCCCTCTCTTTCTGTCTCTCTGGTGAGCACGCATGCCTTATAGCAAACTTTAACAAATAATAATAATGATGATGAATAAAATAGATAGTATTCAAAACTTTTTAAAAACAGCAATCATTTAATGTAATAAAGAAAAGAACTATGTGGCTGACCCTGTAGCCCAGTGGTTGAGGGAGCAGGATTCCATGATTCCACATGAATGACCACAGTTTGAATTTGGGTCCCCACAATTTGAAAAACACACCAGACACATGTGTAGGTGTGCCCCAAATCCTGACAGGATGGAGAAATGAAGAAGAGATTGCAGAGATATCACACAACATTGGGGAAGGGGGAGGCTTTCTCTTTCTCTGTCTGTCTGTCTCTCTCTAGCAAGCACACAAGCCCTCCAACAATTAAAAAAAATCTACACATTGACTGTGGGCCGGGAGGTGGTGTGGTGGTTAAGAACACTGGACTCCCACATGGCTGACTGCAGTTCAAGTCCCAGGACTCCCACATGACCAACTGAGGTTCAAGTCCCGGATCTGGCAGCTTGCTTTCTCACTTTCCTCTCTCTCTCGTTCTCTTGTTCTGTACCTCTCTGATCAAATTAAAACAAACAAATAAATAAAATAAATAAAGTTCAAAAAATAATTAAAAAAAAACTATACATTGATTTCAACTATTTTTGCACCAAAACAAAATCAAACTTTGATTCTATTTTCATGAATTTTCTGAAATCCTTTCCTATTAGTGGCTCTACATATTTGTATCAGTAAAGTGATTAAATGAAAAAGCCTCATTTTCCTCACGTAGAAATTAAAGGTCTGAATTGGATGTCCTTTCATTTGAGGTTCTTCCCAAATCCAGTGCTCAAGACCCTAGAATATAGATTAAGTCACTCACCTGCCACCTGCAGTTCCAAGTTGGCCTCCTCATAGAATCCTCCCTTGCTGAAGAAGCAGGTGTACAGCCCATCGTCGGAAACCCGGACGTTGTGGATGCGCACGGCAGCCTCCCCCTGGGCGAGGAAGTCCCTCACCAGCGAGGTCCGCCCCGCGTACTGGGCCATCTGCTCCTCCTCCTGCTCCTGTTGGTCCCGAAAGCTGAGCACCACTTCCGAGAACTCGGTGCGGTACCATAGCAGTTCCATAGTCACTGCGCTCATGGGTGGGATCAGGGAGCAGGGCAGCGTGGCATCAGCACCCAGCACTGCCACAACAGGATCCAAGGGGCCTATGACCGCAAACTCATCTGTGGACACAGACATGGGAGTGAGAAGCTGTGAGATACAGGCCACGGGGCGGAGAGCACACAGCATAGATGGGGAGGCCAGGCAGGCCGGGGACAGATGCTGGCTGACGTGACCCCACACGACCTGCTGGACTGAGCAGTGATGACTCTGAACCTGGCGAGATCTTCTGACCACAGTCATGGGGCCCAAAAATGACTTCAGAGACTCCCCAAAGGCCTGTGCTCCTGGCCCCAGGCCCTTGCAGGAAGGACTCTAACCCAGAGATCTCGCACTGAGCTGGCACCCACAGGACCTTGTAAAACACATGCTGAGCCTCAGCCCAGGGCTGCTGGTTAGGTTGGTCAGGAATGTGCATTTCTAAGGGGTTCCCAAGGAAGGCGATGCTGTTGACCCAGGTGAGTCTTTGAGAATCATGGCTCTCACCTGGCCTGGCCTCCAGGAAATCCTGCATCCCCGTGGCCTCGGTCAGCCACACTCAGGAAATTCCACACTCCCACTTCTAAGTTTATTTTTTCTGTCCATATTTTTCTCCTCCACTGAATTATATGTTCACTTAAAACCTAGATGCAGGGGCCACTAGGTGGCATGGTGGTTGAGGCACTGGACTCCCACATGCCTGACCACAGTTCGAGTCCCAGGTCTGTGACTTGCTTTCTCACTTTCTCTCTTTCTCTGTCTCTCTCTGGCTGGGGCACATGCCCTATAGCCAACTTAAAATAATAATAATAAATTAATAATATAAATAAATAAATAAATAAACAAACACCTACATCCTGGGGCCAGCAGGATCCCACATGGCCAACTGTGGTTCAGCTCCTGGACCTGGAAGCTTATGTTCTCACTTCCCTCTCTGTCTCTCTCTCTCTCTCTTTCTCTCTCTCTCTCTCTCCGTCTCTCTCTTGTGGGCACATGTGCCCTATATCAAAATTTTAAATAACAATAAATTAAATAGGGCCTACACGAGCCTCCCCGCCTGTCCTCTCCCCGCCATCAGGTCTGTGACCCTCTGATCGTATACGAGCTCATCCACGTCCCCGATCTGTTCAACACCCAACCAGGTTAACCCCCACAACCTCTGTAACCCCAACTCGTGTTTTCCTCCCCCGTCTGTCTATTCCAGCCAGCATTTGTTTCCCTCTCTCTGCTGCTCCCCGACACCCCAGCCAGGCACAGCCAGGAACCGCGCCAGCTTCGCCCTGGCTGCTCC